GAATGCTAGGCAGCGGGTGAACATTCAGTCCTCAAAGTTGATGTTTTGGAAGCAGGAAAAACAGGCAAGCATAAGGATCTGAGTGACTTTGATAAGGGCCAAACTGTGATGGCTGACAACTGGGTCCAAGCATCTCCCAGACTGTAGGTCTTGGTGGGTGTTCTCGGTCTACAGTGGTCAGTACCTACCCAAAGTGGTCTAAAGAAGGGCAAACACTGAACTGGTGACAGGGTCATGGATGCCCAAGGCTCACTGATGATGAGGTTGAGCTACTGTAGATTAATTTTTTTCATTTTTTTCACCCTTTTCAAAAGATTTTGTTTGAATCTTTGTTGAAATGGATGAAAATGAGAAATACTGTACATCGGTCTCTATGAAGAGAAACGATCAGCAGCTATAGTGGTGATGTCACACCTAGAGTGGGGAGGCTGTTGAATTTGACTAAAACATTATCTCTAATTTGTCCTCACAGCCACATTCTTCATTCCTTTAACAGATTTTATTTGTCACTAAATAACAGTATAGCTATGGCAGCAAACAGATTCATATGCACTGTGTACGCAGGTGGTCATAATGTTATGGCTGCTTGCCATAAGTTTGTTGACTCAGTAAAAACAAATTTTAAGCACCCCTGTGCAGTTTTCTCTGCCTCTGTGTTACAATTACCTTATCAGGACACAATGGGCCTTAGCAATTACTGCACTTAGTTTTACTTTATAGTTGGAAATTGTTAATATTATCTCTGCAAGCACTTCAAACTGTGTATTTTCTGTTATATTTGTGTGTGTGTGTGTATTCTCTTCCCTACAGGATGAGTACCAGTTCTGCTATCATGCCGCCCTGGAGTACTTAGGAAGCTTTGATCACTATGCAACGTAAAAAGCCATCTCTTTGCCCCAGAATCCTGTCGCTCCCCTCAACAGTCTCCTGAGCCATAGAAACTTTGAAATTTGAAACAACAACAGCAGATGATGACGATAACAACACTGCTAATTCAGACACGCCAAACAGTATCATAATGTAGATTTTTAGAAAACGCCTAACCGACCAGTTTAGAGTTTAATTCCAGTTCAAGAAATTGGAAGTCAGGAAAACTGCCCATCATCAAGAAAAGAAAATCATAATCAGGAGAGGAAACGGAAGCTGTGGCTCAAGCTGTAGGACGGGAATCGATCAAAGTGTCCAACTGCTTACCTTACCTCAAGTGTTTCAATATGGGAGGACATTGTAAACATTCGTGGACATTTCTCTTCTCAAAAATATATTTGTGACACAATGGCAACAAACTACAGATAATGAAGGAAAAGGCAACAGCAAAAATCAATGAGGCCGATGGATGTAGCCAAGACGGGGTGACTTCATGGTTGTTGTTTTTTTTTTTGTTTTTTTTATGTCTGGGTATTTCTATCAACACGTGAGTGATATCAAGAGAAGTCAGAGAAATGGCCAAATTGTGGTTGCCTGTTTTCCCCCAAACTCTGGTCACCCCAAAAAGACAAGACAAAAATCAACCAAAAGAGTGGGAACCTAACAAGCATGAGAACACTCCCATCTGGCATTAAATAAATATTCAGTTTTGCACTGTTCCACTAATGATATCCATTACATCTGTGGGGAACCACTCACCTTTCACAGTATGCTTTACATAACTGGCTCTTCTCAAGCAGTAAGAGTTTACTGAAGGCGCTGTTGGTGGTTGTTGGGAGGAAAGCAGCAACACATATCTTAAAATCAGTACCTTCATGAGCTTGTGCAAAATCAGTATCTCAAGCCAGGCAACCACAGTGGTGTTGACAAGCACCACAATGTATTACCAATAAAAAGTCCCCCTGGAAGCTCACGTCTCAGTCACCACAGAATTTGGAGCAAACCTCGCTGCTGGAAGAAGTTCCAGCTGGGTCATCTTGCAGACGGTCAAGGTGGGAGAAATGGAGACTGTATCCCATGATTTTTTACAGTCACTCCTCTCTTTGCAACAATTGCATCATGGGGCTTCAGTATTAACATTCGCCATTTTGAAAAAGGGGTGAATCTGATGGGCAAGAAGCATTGGAACAAATGGAACAACCAAACAAGGATTGCCACAAAGTTTGGACTTTCTCTGTGTACAGTGACCAGTGCTCATCAATATCGTTTGGAACTTTTTTTGTGTTATGAGGAACCCTTTTTTTGTTGTTTTTTTTCTGTCAAAACCAAACATGCTGCTGATATTGTGTATGCTGTATGTGTGACTCTTGAGAGAGAGGAAACTGATGAACAAAAGATGCCAGCTCTGCTAACCGCTCGCACCCAGGCAGGCATGACTGAATGCGCATCCACAGTATAAATCATCCACTGGTCTTTTCTACCTTTCCTTTTTTTCCCCCTAGTCTCCTCTATAATCATCATTGTGTAAGACACTCAAGAGTGGCAGAGGCCTGTTACAATTACAGTTCATGTGATTGAAAAATTGGCCTTTATTTCCACACAGTGTACATGCATTGAATTTGTCCTCAGTTTTAGAGATGATGTTTCCACGGGTAACAGCCAGACCAGGCAGCCATGTTGGATTTCAGTGAAAATCTTTAGTACACATAACCCCACAAATAACTGCAGGTTGACGCCCTGATGTTTATGCGTCTAATAAAAATCAAGCTTCTGAAATGATTGGGTTTTCATTTTGAGATCGGTGCTTTGTAAACGCGAGTGTGCAAACCCTGCAACGTTTTTCGGTGGGTGTGCACAAAAAACCAGACCGATGGAAAGAACTGTGTGTAATCTTTTCTTATTTCCAAAAAAGCCTTACTGTCATTGTAACATTATGAAAACATTAATGTTGTATTATGACAACTTACTTTGCATTACATAGTTGACTTCTTAATTTCTTTTTTGTTTAGTTTTTTAACAGAGATGTATCACATTTTTTAAAATTAGCAGGAAAAAGATCCAAATGCTTATTTGTTCATATTACGTTGTATATATATATATATATATAAATGCACACTCACACATGCATATATATATTTAAAAACTGAATATAAAGATATATCCAAACACTTAGAATGAATTCCAATTTTCTCCTCATCTTTCTTTTTATACCAGCCAATGCTCATGTTTGAAAATATGATGGCTTTTTATTTTTTTCATACTCTTAGAAACCTTGTGTGTTTCTTAAGAAAAAGCAGAGGTTATGTCAGCCTGGGCCCTCGGCCTACAGTTTAACCTCTACCCCTGGGTAGAGGCGGAGATGCCATTTAAACTATACAGAAATCTTCTGTTATTGTTAACTGGTAGGTGTTAGGGTTTTTTTTGTTTGTTTGTTTGTTTTTTTTAACAATTGTTAATGAACTGGTCTACAAAAATATCTAGTCATTCAAAAATTTCAGGATTGAGCTTCTTTGTTATTGATATCAGCCCAATTTGACATACTGTACCTTGTATGATCGTGTACAGACTAACCTTCAAAGTTTGTAAAGGAAAATTCTTTTTTTATTTTTTTTATTTTATCATTTTCAGACACAATGTGGTCATTCATTTTATTAGATATCCTCTACGATCTAGAATATAAATGTAAATAAACAAATATATAGATTATATGTATTTGGATCATTTGACCCTCAAAATCTCATACTTTACGTGGGGACAGAATTACAAAGATCAAGATTCTGCTCATATTCAACTTCCTGTTGTTTGTAAAGCCTGTTTCCTTGCGTTCTTTCTCCAGCCCTGCTCCCTGGTCTTTAATTACCTCACTTTTTTTCTTCCTTTAATTTCCCCTGCCAGTAGTTAAACTGGGACACATGCCAGCTTCAGTTGTCACTGCTATAGCCTCAATGAGGGCATTAAATCAGCATCACTGATATGCTCGGACAGTTTAGCCAAGACTGGAAGGTTAGTCCTCTCTACCATCTAACCATTTGAATTACTAATCAATCATCTATTTTAAAGATGTTACCATTTTATTCTTACAGCAGTCATGAACTTTCCCTGCCCTGGTATTAGCATCTAGTCTATTAGAGTTAATAAGGACTTTTTAATCACAGAGCCTAAAAAAAGTCCTCCAAAGTCTCAAATTCCAAAAATAATAATAATATCAATAATAATAAAATTACCAAAATGTATTTTCTTTATTTCTCTGTTGCTTTGAGAAGCGGTAGCCCCTGCTATTCATTCTTTAAAAGTTTCCCCACTAAAGATCCCCAGCTGTCCAACTGCCTAGTATGCCAGTGTGTTAACCATAAATGTGTCACTGACTGATAAACAAATGCAGCTTTGCTAAAGACCATACATAATTCTTTTGCAACATGACATGTTAATAAATGTTCTTTCTAGTGTATTTTTAAGCCTTGTATCGAACCACACCATTTTTGTTTGACCATGCTTCATTATGGGATGCAGAAAGAAATCAGGACTCACTGAAAAAAGAGCAGTGCGGTGCAACCAAGGGAAGACCAAGACAACCAAAAACTTGCTGCAAATTCACATTTCCAGCACATCATTTCTGAACAGTCGGAACCTTGTGATGTTTCATAATGAACTAAACACCAGAGCTGAGGCCTTTTGGAACTCAAAAACACTGATTAAAAAAAGGGGGCCCATGCCAAAACTGAAACCCTGGAAGTCTTTGGAAGCTTGTGTAATGTGTTACTCTTTTGACTTCATGTAAAGATGCTAGACTTTTGACAACAGCCACAAAATTATTGGAGTTGCAGGATATTTGGGTTGAACGGACTAACAAAAAGAACAACACTAACAAAAAAAGCATCAAAAATATTAAACCATATACCGTACATACTGACAAAATGGAAAAGAACCCAAATTCTGCAAAATAGTTTTTTCTTTGTATGAGGGCCAAGTGCTATCACTTTCAAAATGTTACTTCTAACTGAAACAATAATTGGTTTAAAGCTACTGTGTATGTAGATATGTTGACTTTGTATTAAAGAAATGTTGTCTGAAAACCATTTTGCCTGCTTTTTTAATGCTATACTGTATATTTTGACAGTGTGGTTCTTCTAGCTATCTCTCCTACGTATGCTCCTGTGTCTGTTTAATGTGCAAATAGCTAAGAGTTCTAAAGCTGTAATACTTGACTTAACTTTCTTTGTACATCACTCATTGCACTGGAACTTGTTGAAAAATCTGTGCAACAGCGCAAAGGACAAGTGATGAAGCACACAGCTGGTGCACTTCTTTTGTTGATAGATGACTTGATTAGCTTCCTCCTATATTTATCCTTCACAAACATATCCCGATGTTTCCTTAAGCCCCCCTTCAAGCTTGATAAATGCCACCCAGGCAGGCTGATGTTGGCGCAGAGGTAAACCTTCACCTGGTGGTATTTGCTCTTTCATCCATGCTCAATTGAGGCTCTTGCAATATCTGATAGGCTCAAAGCACAATGTTGGAAAATTAAACTTGCTGTACACTGGCTTTAGATTATACCCCATAAATTATAGTGCGAGGTATCGGTACAATACTTTTACTGTGTATTGTATTTGTCTACAACTATCTAGTAGGGGAGAAGAAAAGAGAGAATAAAGGGTTAACAATTTAATGTTTAAAAAGGATGTAACTCTAAATTAAATATTTGCTGTGGTTTTAACTTGTTTAGAAAAAGTCAATGCATTGAAAGTCCAGGATTTGACTGAGTAAGACAGTGACTCTAAAATGCTTGCTCACCCATACTGTACATGCAGGGTAGTTAAGAGGCTGTAAAATAAAGCAGTCTCTTGGTTACCATTTTTGTTCAGGGTCATTAAAAATGCATGTATTGGGTATGTACAGTATGTAAACACTTAAATCCCTAAGAGCAAATTTACCCCCATATTCCTGCTACTTCTACCAAAAAAATACCCAGTAGTATCCAAATATACAAATTATTTAGACTTTAATTTGGGAGCTGTAATCTAAAGTGTTACTGTAGCCGCAAATGCAAAAGTTTAGATTGTTCCAAGTCCTCAAAACAAGTTTTTCCCAAAACCTCACTGTTCATGACCATTTGATTCACACACAGATCAACTGGTGTGACAACATTCTTCTACTGTAAGTCACCAGAGGACTGTCATTTATTAAAGGGTAATGTAAGCGGAATGACACACCATTTCAAAGATGATATTACTAATCACTCAGAGAGCTGCGTTTTAGCCCATTCTTTTCTAATAGTGGCGAGCCAACAGACCAAGTGTGAGGGTAGGCGAGGAAGTGAATTAGGGCGGTGATTATGCAGTGATTCAGACAGCAGCTCATTAGGACCCAGCTAAGCAAGCAATCAACAAATCGATGTGACAGTGGACCCAGAAGCCGCAGAAATTTGTAATAAATGGCAAAGCGATAAATTAGATTATTCGCAGCCCTGTGGCCAAGCTCTTTCTGTTTCAAATGACAAATCAATCCAATCATGCCACAAAAAAGCCAAAAGTACCAAGAAAGAAAAGTGGGCCTCATGTTGCACCAGCTGTAGAGGTTATCTGTCAGAGATATGTCTTGTTAAGGCTGTGTTTTGCAGAGGTCATTTCTGTATGCTATTCATGGATATAAACTATTCATGACAGACCATTCAGTGTTTATGACCATCTTTTATAATAAGAGATTTACTGCCATTTGAACTCCAGTCAGAATAGTAAAGATGTCAGAAGGGTACCATGCTACATGCCTACTGATTCACTCAGGAGAAAGCAGCTCTGCCTTGAGAGTCTGATGATGTAAATGAGCACCCAAGGAGCAATAATAGATACATAAACTGTGGAGACAGCAGGATCTCTCCATACCTCAGAGTGTTTTCCAAGTACAAGGAATGGATCTGCTCCAGCTACCTGTCAAACAAATAGCACCGAACTTTTCACAGATTGTCATGACTCATATGCAGGGCGATGAAACTGATATGATAGTGATGGCAAGTGGATAGATAGATATTTTGACTGAGCACTGCTTCTCTCCTGTGGACACTTCTTTTAAATGCCTTTGCTGCCATCTGCAGGACATTATCTGGTATTTTACCATATACTGTATTTGACCATAACCACTATGAGGAGCAGTTTCTAGCCAATTAGATAAGAGATTAACATACTGTAGATGATGTATTGAAATATTTTGTCTTCTCCAGAGGCTCTTGCTTTCTAATTAAGCCATAATAAGATATGATTAGTAATGCTTTGTAGCTGTAACTTACACATTTAGTGTTCATACATCACGTATAATCTGTGCATTTTGCTGATATGGTAAAGTTACTATAGGTCTTAAAAGCTGTAATGAAGTTTATCTTGTGTAGTGAAATTTCCTGCATGTTTTTTTCCACCTGCTTGTTCAAGCACCTGGCAGCAGTAAATGGTGGCCTTTTAAAACTGCTGTGACACGGTTCCTGTGTTTATGCCCGTGTGCGTTTATTTTCTATAATTTGTCTTATGCTCTCTCCATCCTTGCTGTCATGTGTCCAAGCAATGCTCTGCCACTGACTGATTGCTGCTATTACAACAGGCTCATGTTGCCGAGGGAAGGTGGGCTCCGCTCTCTTTTTCCCTCTTGCTCACGCATGTTTTACTTACTCTGACCTTTCTACCCATCATTTCTATTTCTTCTTCTCTGCACTGTTGGTTCTTCACTTACAGCTCTGCTGATTGACGCTGGGCAATGATGAAAAGTGTCTATAAATATTTGAAGGAATACTAAGATATTTGGCATCATGGTCCCCACAGGATTACTTATTCTTTTTCATATAGCACCGCCACAGGTCAAATTTTCCACTTGTCTCATGTATTCGTTATAGAGGTGGGAATTACAACTTAATTTGCAGTCACAATGCAGTTTTTGCTTCGCAAGAAATCACATCACCACTAAAAGCACACAGCAGTCTGCATATTAGTAAGGGAACAATTCGGACTGATGTCACTGGTTATACCTAGATTTCCCTCCCCTTTCCCATACCATAATGTTTTTGTCATAATCAAGGTATTTCCTGAATGTTAACTG